AATATTATACAAGTATTAACTGGTTAAAAAGATATTAAATATAATTCAATGAAGTTAGCTATGTATCTGTCACAAGACGAAATTCTTTGCAGAAGTTAATAATTTCGATTAACAAAATTCGGAATATTTCAGTAAAAACACAATAAATATGAAAAAATACACTCTACACTATAGCTAAGATCAAATTGTAATATTCCACATAATTTTTTACTCAAAATACACCAAAAGTGGATATTCGTCAATATTGATTTTCAGTTACTTTTTGCTGGGATTGTACATACAAAGCATCCTTAAACGATGATGAATGACGTATCAAAGGCAAATTAATTTGTTCAAGATCGAGAGAAATAAAATGATGAATGTCGTATCAAAGACAAATTAATTTTTTTTTCTTTCCTGATCTCGATTTTTCGATCGAAGACGCCGGTAAATTCGAGACACCCCGTATACACTTCGAGTATTCTACAGCGAGAGAGACAGAGTGAGAAAGAGAAAGAGGGTACGGATGCAGGGTAGTACTTATGCACGTATGTACAGAGCGTAGTTACGTACCGGGCGTGCATCTTTATTATTGGTCGAGAGAACCCGGTACGTGCGTCCGAGGTTCGATGAACCTTCGCAAGGTACGCATGTGTACGGACGTATGGCCTTCCGATCGCCTGGTGTTGTGGTATCCGCGGCGGTTAAAAATCCTGCTACACGAAACCGCTGTGTTTTTCGCGGGACCAATAACGCTCGCGGTCGACGACGATCGGATTGATCGGTGTCGAAAAGGGGTTTCTTAGGTGTCAAAAATAGAACCTATATTCCAATAATGTGGGAACGCTATAAGAAATACCGAATTTCGGATTATTTTTCGTAACTCTTGATTAAATATCTATCCTTGATGAAGATTATTTATATCAATGAGAAAATTATAAATAAAATGTGATTATTATCTTGCAAAGATCTTAGGATAAATCGAAATCTCCGTTCACGATGTGAAATAGAAGTCGTAAAAAATGTATCACTAAGATATATAAATAAGATATAATATTTAAAAATACCATAATCGAGATTCGAATGAAGATTAATTATATCGATGAGAAAATTGATAATAAAAAAAGGTTCTGATTATTATCTTTTTATTATATTATTTTTATAATGCAAACATCTTGGGATAAATGAAAATCTCTGTTCGGTGCGAAATAGAAGTTACGAAAAATATATCACTTGAATAAATTATAAATACTTGAAAGCGATACTCTAGACTTGAATGATGCTCGTGACATAATTGTTCGTACACAATGTTAGATTTTCAATAATCGAGTAGACGTCTCGTTACACACGTTTGCGAGTGCACGTTGAGTTACCTAGATATTTTCTAGCTTATCGCAAACGACTTAATTCTTATCTTGCCGGTTCGAATTCCGCCAGTCTTCGGTCGAGCTTCCTCAGGTGTCGCAGTGTCGGTAAAACGGCACGAAATTTACGCTTGCTACGACATAATATTTCGCACGTTTCTCACCTGCTCGAATTTGTGTCAAACATATTGTTTCTGACAAATCGGCGAACGATTCCCGATGTTATGCTCAGAAAATCGCGCTCTAACGGTTCATGCGGATTCGACGACACGTATTTTTTTTCCTGATGTTTTCATTTACGTGGAGATGATTTTTTGAAAAATATGGAAAAAATTAAATTTGATTTTCTTGCGTCTGTAGTGATGCGTGAATCGATGACAGTTTAATGGGTGTGGAAAAGACAGACATTTTTTCATGCATAATGTGAGACGAATGTGTGCATAAAGTGTGTAAGACAGTGATTTAATGTGCAATTTTGTCTATTACTCAAAATGATTCGGCAATTTTTAGATGCACTGAGTGGGAATTCGGTAATATTTTACACATTTATATATCGCATATGTTTGTACATATCTCTTTTAGATGTCAATATGCACTCCCGCAAACATAACATTGTGTGCCAGAAATATTCTTTAGATATATTTATTCTTTAGATACCTGATTATATTGCTTTCAAAGATACAATTACGTGCTGACTAATAAGACATCAAGTTTATTTATCATGTGATATACAATATGTAATGATATATAAAGAGAAAGAGAGATAAGATACAGATAAAGTAATGGCTCACAATCTCATTCATTGAAGGTTTTAGCCAAGAAGTCATAGGAATCCCTTTAAAGAAAACATCTATGCAATATTATACAATTTTGTGAATATGCCAAATTAAGTATATCCTTTGCGATTATTGCTAAACATTTGAATTTTCTTAAAGATAATGTAACAATCTAATTTTTATCTTATCTAAATGAAAAGAGTATAAAATGATTAATAAAATTAAATCTATTTCATTTTTTCGTGCAACATCGTGAAAATTAAAGGGGATATATTTTTTAAAAATTCATTTAATACATCCAATTACATTAATCATACTTTATAATGAGGAATAAAAATCGATTATTATTGAAAATAATAATACATATAATTACTAAAAAATTATGTGTATCTTAAATTGTCATATTAATTTTTTTTAAATTATAAAGAATCAACAGTTATTAAAAATTACAAATAAAAACGGCTACAAATTAATTTATATAATGTGATAATTAATTTTAATTTCACCTAAGGAATAAAAATATAGGAAATAAAAATAACTTGTCATTAATCATAACAGAATCTTACCACGTAATATTATTAAGATACAGTTATACATGTTAGATTATACATGTAATATAATACATCCAATTACATTAATCATACTTTATAAAATGAGGAATAAAAATCGATTATTATTGAAAATATAATTACTAAAAGATTATGTGCATCTTAAATTATCATATTAATTTTTTTTTTAAATTATAAAGAGTCAGCAGTTATTAAAAATTACAAATAAAAGCGGCTACAAATTAATTTATATAATGTGATAATTAATTTTCATACACCTAAGAATAAAAATATAGATAATAAAAACTTGTCATTAATCATAACAGAATCTTATCGTGTAATATTATTAAGATAGAGTTATACATATTAGATTATATATGTAATATTTTCAAAATGTGACAACTGTTACACATGTTTCCAACTCGAGACGAGATTTATCACCATTATGACGTTCGATTACTTATTCAGCCATCATGATATAAATCATAGTCGAATCAGAGCGTCACGTTAATTGGCGCGGCTACCAATAATTATTTGAATTTTTGTTTAACACTCGTCTAGGATAATTACACGTGTGTCGCACGTGCATGCGCATTGATTATCGCGAAAGAGAAACAAGTTGAACTCGTGCGAAAGTATCGGCGATTCGGCTCGACGATCCCGCTTTTTATTACAAAATCGCATCCGCTCGATAATCAGGTACTATACAACATATATACGTGCAAATAAAATACTCTCCCTCCCTCCCATGATTTAATTGTCCCTTTATCGCGGTGCAATGCACGCAAAATAGAGCGGAATAGAGAGCGTCTTAATATGTTTCTGCAAAAATCTCCTTCCTGATTGTTTATTTCTGCGGAAGATAATTTCCACGATCTATCTCTCTTTCTTTTGTGAGGATATTATCGCGAAGATTGCGTTATCTGCACGAGCAACATTTTTTAAATCACGTTCTTGTTGGGTATCTCTTCGAGAAAATCAATCGTAAAATCTCCAAGTCTTTTTTATTATTAAATTTCTATTTTCGATAATTAAAATATTTGTTTCACTTTTTATTACGTTTTATTCACATTATAAATATTTCTCATACATAAAAATACACATTTCTACGCTTATTAAAACCAAGCATTGCATTCAGAAAATTTTATCTCTTTAAAATCAATTTTACGTAACTGAATGTGTGAATTTAATTATCAAGTTTTATTTGTATCGTGTACTGTATCTCTTACTGTGTTGTAGAATTTCTTAATAAAAGATATTAAGGATGTTTTATATGTACAATCCAAGCAAAAAGTAATTGACAATCAATATTGACGAATATATCCACTTTTGGTGTATTTTGAGTATGAGAAATTGCGTGGAATTTTAATTTGATCATATTGTTAGCTACAGTGCAGAGATGTATTTTTTAATATTTATTGCGCTTTTACTGAAATATTCCGAATTTTGTTAATCGAAATGATTAATTTTTGGAAGAGAACTTCGCCTTGTAACAGATACATGGCTATCTTCATTGAATTATATTTAATATCTTTTTAACCAGATACTTGTATAATACTATTTGATCAAATATTTCCTCTGTATCTAAACTATATTTTTGTAAATTTTAAACAAGTTCTGAATATTATTTTCATGTGTTTTTGCCATTTGAATCGACGTGATTGTACGTTTCCCATAAGAACACATATTAATTCGGTGCAAATTAAAATCCTTATAACTTGTGAACGTTTTAGTGAATCGATTTAAAAATTGTACTGAAGATTCTAAACATATGTAAGGACATTCTGTACAATTTTCATGAAATTCTCAATATTTTGATAATATTTTGATAATAGCTACAAAACATCCTTAATCGAAATGATTAACTTTTGGCAGAGAATTTCGCCTTGTGACATGGCTAATTTCATTGAATTATATTTAATATTTTTTTAACCAGTACTTGTGTAATATTATTTGACCAAATATTTCCTCTGTATCTAAACTACACTTTTGCAAATTTTAAACAAAGTCTGAATATTATTTCCGTGTTTTTGTCATTTGAATAGACGTGGTTATACGTTTCCCATAAGAACACATGTTAATTCGGTGCAAATTAAAATCCTTATAACTTGTGAACGCTTTAGTGAATCGATTAAAAAATTGTACTGAAGATTCTAAACATATGTAAGGACATTCTGTACAATTTTCATTAAATTCTCAATATTTTGAAAATAGGTAAAACATCCTTAATAAAATTTATTAGGGCTTAATATGTAATTGTACACGGTTCGAGTGTTTTGCATTACAAAGTAACTTATAAATAGATACTCATTAAAAAACATCGTTCTTTTCAGACTCGAAGCGGGATGTCCGTGGGTTCGGGCGGGCGGGCACCGTTTAAACGGACCACACAAAGTACTCTATCGATTACGAAAAAATCCAGCGAAAAACAGTAAGTGCACAGAAATTACATAAGAATTATAAAAATTAAAAATTGCTTGGTGAATCAACGGATAATTTAGTATAAAAATATATATTATTAGCAGATAATTATCAAATACACACCGCATATATATATTATAACTTTCAATATATATGTATATTTGCATAATAAATACATATTGCATTATACAATAAATTGTGTGTGACACAAATAATAAATTGGATTTCTTTAAATTTTTTATAATTTTTGAAAAAGAATAAATTAAAATCTAGATACGACAAGCAACTTTTGTATGCATTTTCATATGCAACTTATTTATATACGCATTTAATGTGTGAGAGAATATTATTATTTTAACGTTTTACAAAATGTGTTAACAGAATGATAATTATATGACGCGATTTCTACAGAATCCTGCTGTATCGATCTCGTGTATTAACCGGTTCTTAATAGTGAACGAGACGCGATGCAGAGGACGCCGGCGTGCAATTTTATCGTCGTAGCAATAAGAGTGTTCATTATCGTAATTGTAATATACGCGACATAGTAACACGGTGTTCTGGTACGTCGTGAATCGGGAAACCGGTTATTTTTCCAAGAAATCCGTTATCCACCTGCCACTGCACAGATGACTTTTAATTTTTGCTTCTGGGAATTTTACATCACGATTCGACAAACCGTCTGGTGCTCAATTTTCGTCGACAAATTTTACTATTCAATGCGCGGGAAAATGATCTTTAATTACATATATTAATTGCAAAATATTTAGGCTGGTATTAAAAATGAAATATTGGAAATATATACACGCATCATTTTTGAGAAAATATAAAAGTATAAAATTTACAGATTTTATAATGAAAGGTATGTTAAAGTTTTTTTGAGATCATGTTTTACAATGAAATTTTATTGTAATAATATTATTAAATCAAATTTCTGAATTCTTATCATTGTAAAATGTTTTTTTCCTCTTTTCTACTTTATATATACACATTACATGTCTACTCATTGATTTAAGATAACGCTAATTCTTTAAACATTTATTTATAAAATTTCATTGTGTCTATTAAAGTTCTGAAAACCGTTATTTAAAGAAAGAGGTTTCATCGGGGATATAGCTCAGTGGTAGAGCATTCGACTGCAGATCGAGAGGTCCCCGGTTCAAACCCGGGTGTCCCCTTCTCTTCTTTTTATTTTATTCAATGGCTCTTCATAATTATTTTTTTATTCATTTTCGTTTATCATGTTTATCTTTGATCCAATTTTGAAATATTATTAAGAAACCAATTATTTTTTTTTATATTTTCTTATATTAATCTTTGTTTTACTTTCAAAAATCAGCAAGATGGTTCATAGTGAAAAAATTATTAAACAGTTTTATTATTTTCTTACGTTTTTATTTTTGCGATAAGTTATTAGTAAAGTAGAAAATCTCGCGCCAAGTAAATACTAAATGAATCATTCTATGAAAGTTACGTACATATAAACTTCTTTGTGAAAGATATTATCGTGCAACTTTATTGGATTAATAATAAGTAGGCAGACGGGGTGTGTCACATTTCTCTTGGTAATACCATGTTAACGCAACATAACGCTTTCGCGTACAGATAGTTATTGGACGTTCTCGTATAAATTTACATCATGTTTTATCACTTAAAATCCAATTCTCGAAGACGAGAGAGCGAACGTCACGTAACGGAGATAAACGAGTGCATGCACGTGTTGTGAGCCGGTCTGGACGACCGTCCTCTAGAAAACTTGCTCTCCTAGCTATGATATTTATCACACACAAGCCGGAAAACGCGCACGTAACTCTTAACACAAATGTACAAGAGCGATGATTCAGTCTCACATACTTTTCTTGATTTATATAATAATCAAAATACACACATATACACGCGATGAAAAAGCAGAGCTTTTATACAGGGTGAGTCATTTTAATCAATACACTCGAATATCTCGAAAACAGCACTCTTCAGAAAGAAATGTTTCAAACAAAAATTGTAGGGTGTGAAGGGGGACATAAGATGGTAGCATTGGTTTGACCTTGGAAAGTCATTTGAAGGTCACATAAAAGTCACCTTCAATTTCTTAAATTGAACCCACTATTTTTCATTACATATTCTTGTAGCTTATCTCGAGAGCTTTCCAAAACACTACAGACAAATGTTTTTTCATTAAGTACTTTTTGAGTTATAAGGCTTCAAAGTTTGCAGTACTTCGATATAAAATGCAAAATATCTCGTAAAATATTTAGTTTTCGGTAGTCTTACCCTAATACTTTTATGCACAGGATAATGAGACAAAACTATTGGTGCAAAGAAAACATATGATTGTTTATAATAAAAAATGTGTAATTTGCAATGCACTTTTTGTTATAAACAATCATGCGTTTTCTTTGTACCAATAGTTTTGTCTCATTATCCTGTGCATAAAAGTATTAGGGTAAGACTACCGAAAACTAAATATTTTACGAGATATTTTGCATTTTATATCGAAGTACTGCAAACTTTGAAGCCTTATAACTCAAAAAGTACTTAATGAAAAAACATTTGTCTGTAGTGTTTTGGAAAGCTCTCGAGATAAGCTACAAGAATATGTAATGAAAAATAGTGGGTTCAATTTAAGAAATTGAAGGTGACTTTTATGTGACCTTCAAATGACTTTCCAAGGTCAAACCAATGCTACCATCTTATGTCCCCCTTCACACCCTACAATTTTTGTTTGAAACATTTCTTTCTGAAGAGTGCTGTTTTCGAGATATTCGAGTGTATTGATTAAAATGACTCACCCTGTATATTGAAAATTAGAAGGAAAATTAAAATATTAATTTTCGCAAAAATTTAATTCTTTAATAAACAATATCATAACATGAAATTATATAGTAAATGATTGTTTATTAAAAAATTAAATTTTTGCATACATTAATATTTTAATATATATATATTTATATAATAATAAAAATACACATATATACACGCGATGAAAAAGCAGAGCTTATCTTTTATATATTGAAAATTAGAAGGAAAATTAAAATATTAATTTACGCAAAAATTTAATTCTTTAATAAGCAATATATCATGAAATTATATAGTAAATGATTGTTTATTAAAAAATTAAGTTTTTGCATACATTAATATTTTAATATATATCTATTTATATAATAATCAAAATATATACATAAACATGCGATGAAAAAGCAGAGCTTATCTTTGATGTATTGAAAATTAGAAGGAAAATTAAAATATTAATTTACGCAAAAATTTAATTCTTTAATAAACAATATCATACCATGAAATTATATAGTAAATGATTGTTTATTAAAGAATTAAATTTTTGCAAACATTAATATTTTAATATATACATGTATGTATTATAATAATTTGGTTGATAATTATATAATTAATAATATCGTTGTAAGAATATTTTATTTAATTGTTTCTACCTATTATGTATTAATTAAAATATTTTAATTTTTTTCTACTCAAATCGGTTTTCTTCTGAAGTAAGGCTGGCATATATTACATATATTTTATTTTGTCAACATAAAATATAATTTACGGTTTTTATCTTACGATACTCGATTCTTCGAAGCGGCACGACAAATCGCTCATAATTTACGTAATGTTGTGTGAGCATTGTTGTTAGCCAGGTGTCGGATTACGTTAATACCATTTAGAATGAAATCAATCTGTTTTATGGAGCTCACCGGTTGATCGATCGATCGTTCACTTATTTGTTCGCAACAAACGGATCTGACGAGAGGGCATTGACCAACGGTCAGCGATCAAACTGACCTCATCAGTCGGTTGAGATATACTGGATACGATATAACTTGTTGAATCAGGTTTTCGATTCTTATCCCTAGTCTTTTCCAAACTCACCATCTTAAGTCTCGATATCTTTGACGATAATAAAATTGATTTTTCATCATTTCAAAGTGAATACTTTTCAATAATAAATATAGAAATATTCGGAAGAAAATAAAAATTAAAGTGACATCTTTAAAAAACAATAAACGCGTTTATAAAAATTATACACATGTGTATACACAGCAATAAAATGTAAATAACCCTCAGATTGATAAATATATAATATTAAATAATAATATATAATATTATAATCGCACGAATATATATAAAATTTTATAATCCATGTATATCTATTATAATCATCATCTTTAAAAAATAATAAACGCGTTTATAAAAATTATACACATGTGTATACATAGCAATAAAATGTAAATATCCCTCAGATTGATAAATATATATAATATTATAATCGCACGAATATATATAAAATTTTAATCATGTATTAATTTTATAATCATATCTATTATAATCATATACCTATATTATATATATCTATTATAATCATACACTGAGGAAAAAATTATTTTGAAATAAAAAATTTTTGTCAACTCAAGAAAGCTATTTATTCAATGGGTATTAATCACGTATTTACTTGTATTCAAAACGTCTGTTTGCTTAAATTAAGTATTTATTTACACATGTTTAAAAAATATATATGCTTAAAAAAATATAATTTTTAATTAAATATATTTATTTTAATTTTACAAAATATTTATTAAAATGCATTTTTTATTCACAAAAATTTAAAATTTTTTAATTTAAAAAAATAATATATTTAATTTAATAAATTATAGTATATATTTTACAAAAATAGTATTTAAATATAAAAAATATGTAAATGAAAATAATGAACTTAATAACATGCATATTTAATTAAAATTAAATGCTTTTGCCTAAATGAAATAAACAATTCCTTGTATTTAAAGCAAAAGTTTCAAGAAAACAAATTTATTTGATTTAAAAAAATTTTTCAGTGTATATATCATATGTTCATCATTTTATCAGAAATTATATATTCGCATTTTTTAAACGAAATATATATGATTTTATATTTGCGATTACAATATTATACATATTTATCAATCAATCCTAGAGATGTTTCCCACATTTTATATCGCTGCATATGTGTACACACATGTA